TAACAGTATGTATGTTGTTTTCATCATTTGCTCATTATTATCTGCCACCACAGTGGCACAGAGAAAAATTTGCAGACTTACGATGCTAAAAATCCGGATTTTGATACTCGTGGTAGATCATAGATAGCCCATTGTGTAGCTTTGTGCTTAACTTCAAACAAACAAAAGAAACTTTTATTATCTTTCTTATAACCTTATAAGCAAACTACGTAATGCAGTGAATTTTCAGTTACACATCTTGAACTTAGAGTAGATAAGAGAGAAAACATTTCAATTCCCAGTGCTCATTATGAATATCTAAATGTGCGATTTTTTATAGGAAACAATTTTTAGTAAGAAAAAACTAACAATAAGAAGCGTTTTTTTGTAATCGTTGTTACAAGTCCTCATAATGCAAGTCTCAGAAATGATGGCTTTAGAAAGTAAATTAAGAATATTATGTTTAATTTTCACAAACGATTGACATTGATTAATTTTTAATAATCTTTATATCTGCTCGGAGTTTTTTTTGTGCTTCCTAACAAATGATGCACTAATAACCCAATTCATTAAATTACTGATACACGAGACTTTCTTAAAGTGAGATCACGTTGTTTATTTATTGCCACTTGTTAAATGAAATCACAAGTACAACTGCATGTTAAAACCCACTTCAGTATTATCTGTGTATAAACACTGTCCCCACCATCAGTTAACAAAATGAAAACTATCGGTATTCAAGAAAATATAAATACAGTCATCCTAGTTTGATAATAGTTATTTTTATCATTAAAATGATACTGTTATGTCTCTAGCCACTTGTTAGTTTCCAGTAAAAATTCTTCCCAAGGAACTTCAGTGATACAAGTCCTTTCTTAAATAAAACTAGTTTATTCTTCCTCAATACAACTTTGCAATAAAAAGAATTTCCACACTTAAACTTAACTTAAACACATGCTATAATTCACAATGATTTACACACTTTACTTATGGCTTGACTCGATTATCTGTCTCTATATCTCTCTTCAATCTGCTATCTGCAATTATTATCTCCGCTTTATTTGCTGGGCTTATATATTAAAATAGAGGGCATCTGGCAAACACTCGAGCCTTCATGATCCTTCCAGAAACTCATCACGTGTTACCAGCATCACTTGACTTCTGTTGTTGTAACACTGCCCCTCCTTAGTATTGTTCATTCCGAAAAATAGCCACTTACATTAAACCAATAACAATTAACAATA